GAATGAGAAAACAAAGAGAGGGACATGCATGATGTTAAAAAGAGTTAAGCATAAGCCATGCAAAAGAACTAGCACGGACTGACACACATCTGAGGCATGTGCACAAAAAGCCACCTCTCTCAGACAGCATGCAGTTCCAAATTCAGTTCTCTTTAGAGGCTTATTGCGTTAAATACACAACTGTCAAAATGACCATTGTATGGAGTATTCACATAAACACAGTTGGTTATGTCTTAAGTGAGCATAAACAATTGGGCATAAACCTGTCTGTATATTAGATCTGTGCATTAGGTCTTAAGGCTGGGACACACCAAACCAAATTCAGAGAACAAGCAGCGACGAAAGCTGATGGTGTTGTCACCATGCGTTGGCAGTGGCGTCTGGACTGAAAAGCTGTGCTTGAACACACCGCACAGACTACAGCCGACTGCAAACTAACATGTGCATTCTGCGCCTGCGTGAGAGGAATTAACTGTCTATATCAGCAGCTATTAATAATATATATTCGTCATTCAAAAGGAGAAACCAAAACTAGGATATACAAGATATACGAAAACATAAACAAAGCAGCGCTTGCTTACCATTTTGAATATCATTTTGAATATCATCATATTGGAATGCTTGGGTAAGATCATGTAGCTTAACATTAGACTTCATTTACTTGCTCGTTTTCATCACTTTCACTTTAATTCTAGCACTGACTCGTTCTCTAAACTGAGCATCCAATCAGAATTCTCACTCGCGCCGATGGACCTGACACCGATTCAACATGTCCCAGCCTTTAAAAAGACAGCAAACCTAATATATATGCTGATGTCTGTGTCATAAGAGAAAATCACTCACTGCTATTGGCTGAAAAACGTTTGTATCTTTAATAAGAATCAATTCATATTTAATTCATACAGTGAACACTACACAGTGTTTTCTTTTTACATTTGATTATTCAATTTTTGTAGTATTTCTTACAATGTTAAATAAACCTACTGTACCCAAAAAAAACTTCAATTTGTTTAATTTGTCTTTCTCTATCTTATACAGAAGCAGAAGTCGTCATGGTTGGGTTATTAGCATTAGAAACACTCTCACAGCAGCATTAATTCGTTTTTTGTAATTTGTTGAAAAGGTAATATAATACAAAGTATGTTATAAATGTACATACATTTTTTGAAAAATGAAAATAGAAAAAACTATGCTGATCAGTCTGTGAAAAAGGTCCATTGCAGTACCTTATATACATACAATCTGTATACGATTTATATCTAAAATGATTGTGTCATTTAGATTTATTACAAAATAATATTCAGGGATAGGCATTAAGATGGTTTAGATTCTATTTCTCTGACTGTTACCATTTTGTTCTCTAAGCTAACAGCAGTTAAGTGCTGTAAGGATTTGTGTTAGGCCCTCTTGCATGTAAAATTATGACATCATTATGCATCATCAGAATGGGTCAGTCTGATTCAGACACTGTATAAATGACAGGACATTAAGCAGAGCAGAACAAACACCTAACAGGAGGAGATTCACTCATGGCCTATGAAACAGAGGATCATGAGACTCAATACTGCTTTCCTGCCATCAACTCATCATGTATCAAAGGAATGCGCTCTAGATATGAATACAATATAATGTCTGTGTTTTTCTCATTGCTGTCAGCATGGACTGTTTTTCTGAACCTGCTGGTGATCATCTCAATCTCTCACTTCAAGAAGCTTCACACTCCAACCAACCTGATCATTCTCTCTCTGGCTGTGGCTGACATGCTTGTTGGACTTATTGTGATGCCCATAGAGGCTACTAGGCTCATTGAAACATGTTGGTACTTTGGAGACACTTTCTGCAGGCTATTTTTAACAATGATGGGACTTCTCTTTACAGTATCTCTCAGTAATTTGGTTTTAGTTGCTGTTGATCGTTTTGTGGCTGTGTGTCACCCTTTATTGTACCCACAGAAAATAACCACAACTAAAACATTCATTATTGTCAGTCTTTGCTGGTTTTACTCTTCAGCATATAGCACTGCAATAGTTATGAGTATCTCACACAAGAAATATGCATGTTATGGAGAATGTATAATTATTGTTAGTTCTGATTGGACAGTCATTAATCTATTCTTGTCTTTCTTGTTTCCTTGTACCCTTATCATAACCTTGTATTTGAGGATATTTTATGTTGCACATCAGCAAGTGAAAGTTATAAACTCACTGGTGAAGGGTGGAAAACATTTAAATGATGGTTCTGTGAAGAGGACATCTGAAAGAAAAGCTGCTCTGACATTAGGAATCATTGTCACAGTTTATCTAGTTTGCTGGATTCCCTTCTTCATTTTGTCTTTAACAGAAAACACAGGAATGGCTTCCACCACAGCCTATATTCTATTATGGATTATGTATATTAACTCAGGTCTGAATCCTCTTATCTATGCTTTATTTTACCCCTGGTTTAAAATGTCAGTTAAACACATCTTAACTTTTAAAATATTTTACCAAGCATAATATCTTTTTTGACTTGACCATAATAATGAATTCACCTGGCATTCATTTCTCCTCAATGGGTCTGTGGAGTCATTACAAAATATTCATGGCAAAAAAAATCATATGATTATAATAAAAAGCCTTTAATTTGACAGGGATTCAGAAACCGTTTCGGTCAATTATTAATAAATCCATGAGAACTGCAAGAGATTTCAAGCTAAACAGGAAGAAAATTCAAATAGTGCAAAGATGTGCATGTATTTACTCACTCCTTTAAATACTACTGCAGATCAGGGATTTCCAAACCTGCTCCTGGAAAGCTACCGTCCTGCAGACTTCAGTCGCAACCCTGCTCCAACACACTCTGTAATTATCAAGTAACCCTGAACACCTTGATTAGCTTGTTCAGGGTGTTTGTTTGGGATTGGAGCTGAATCTGCAGGACTGTAGCTCTCCAGGAGCAGGGTTGGAGACCCCTACTATAGATTAAAAAAAATAAAAAATAATTGTCATGCCTATAGAGGCCATCAGGTTGATTGAGACTTGCTGGTACTTCAAAGACACTTTCTGTAGACTGTTTATGTTAATCATGGGCCTGCTCCTCTCAGCATCTCTCAGTAATTTAGTTTTAATTGCCATTGATCGTTTTGTGGCTGTGTGTCACCCTTTACAGTACCCACAGAAAATAACCATGACTAGAATGTTAATTATTGTCTGTCTTTGCTGTTTTTTTTCTTCAGTTTATAATATTGCAATTGTAGTAAGTATCTCACACAGAACAGATGTGTGTTATGGTGAATGCAATATTATGCTTACATTTGAATGGAGAGTAATTGATTTAATATTTTCCTTCCTGTTTCCCTGTACCCTGATCATAACTTTACATTTAAGGATATTCTATGTTGCACAAAAGCAAGTGAAAGTCATAAACTCTCTAATGAAGAGGGGTAAATGTGTAATGGAAGGTTCAGTAAGGAGGAAATCTGAGAGCAAAGCTGCTCTGACATTAGGAATCATTGTGGCAATTCATCTGCTTTGCTGGATTCCATACTATATCTTGACTCTAACTGAAAACACAGCAATCCCGCCCACCATACTCTATTGTCTAATATGGGCCTTATACATTAACTCATGTGTGAATCCTCTTATCTATGCTTTATTTTACCCCTGGTTTAGAAAATCAGTTAAATACATCTTAACTTTTAGAATATTTCAGCCAGCATCCTCTCGGGTCAATATTTTTACAAATCATCATTCATGATATTTTTAACACTATTTGTGCATCAAACCAGTAAAGCAATTCCTTAAAAAGTGCACTATACATTGCAATTTAAAATGCATTTGAGATCATTTAAATAGATAATCCATAATAAAACTGTCTCAAATAAATTAATGTAACTAAATAATGTAACTTGTTTTATAAGTTTGTATATATAGACTAACTTTTTACTTGAGTTTTTCTGTGTAACTATGACATTTCAGCCAAAGGGAGAAACTTAAACAGCAACACTGCCTCACGTGTTGCGCTATCAGAACATTGATTATTAACAATATTTCTCAATTTTCAATTTCACTTGTTTCTTCAGAAAAACAATCCTTCTTCACAAAAATTTGTTTTTTTCTCAATTTGTCAGGAATCTTAATAATCATGTTTCTATCCATAATGCTATTTATAATGTATCTACCGATTATTACATACTTGTACATGTGCATCTTAAAATTGATTTGAACAACTGAGGAATAAAATACTAAATGTAGTGTCACAATTTGTTACATCATGTTACTCAGGATCATATAAAGCATTCATTTAAAATTTTATTCTTCACAAGAATTTAATTCTGACCTTAAAGCTGCCATAGTGTCAACAAGATGGAAGCCTCCGCATTCTCTACAATATTGGATACTCACTTTTATAGAAGTGATGCATCTCGAACTGTCCACTGTGCACATTCATGGTGCAAGAGAGAGCACTATAAGACTTTGGCCGAAACTTTGGAGAAGCTTAGAGGTTTTTTGATTAGAACTGGAGACATTTCAAAAAGAGATTTAAAAGATGACAAAATAACAATACAAATTTGATTAAAGGAGAGAATTTAATTCTAACCTTCACGAGAAACACCTGCATACAGCATGTCATATTAATTCTGCATTAAAATCTTCTCAGGCCATCTGCCAAGAGGGCTCTTAATAAATTGATGGCCCTATATGCCATCTGTTTCTATATGCTTTCATTTAATATGAGTACTCTGAGCTAGCCAAGTGTCTGAGCTCTGACAGCAGCATTCTTCCTAAAGGGGGGACCGCCTGAGCTTCACGTGTGCATGCGTGTCAGTGGCGGGAATCATGCTGTGGTTGCCACATTCAACTTGTGTTTATACGGTGTTTCCAGTCGCTCTGCTGGTTTTGTTACTGGTTTTATCGGTTTGGCTTTTGTGTTTATACGGTGGTTCCAGTCGCTCTGCTGGTTTTGTTACTGGTTTTATCGGTTTGGCTTTTAGTCTTAAAACTAAAAAGACTAACTAACTCTCTCTGGCTGTGGCCGACATGTTTATTGGACTTATTGTGATACCCATAGAGGCCATCAAGCTAACTGAGACATGCTGGTACTTTGGAGACAAAATTTGTGGAGTGCTTAGAAAGACCCTTAGATTGCTCCTATCAGCATCTCTCTGTAATTTAGTTTTAATTGCTGTTGATCGTTATGTGGCTGTGTGTTGTCCTTTACAATACCCACAGAAAATAACCACAACTAAAACTTTAATGAGCATCATTCTCTGCTGGTTTTGCTCCATAGCTTACAACACTGCCATTGTAATTAACAACGGATATTTTGACACTTTTCACAGAACAGGTGTGTGCTATGGAGAGTGCCCTTATATGATGACTTTTGCCTGGAGAGCCAGTGACCTGATCTTTTCCTTTGCGTCTCCTTGTATCGTAATCATAATGTTATATTTAAGAATATTCTATGTTGCACAACGGCAAGTGAAAATTATAAATTTACTTTTAAACACTGGAAAAAGTACAATGGAGGACACTTTAAAAAAGAAATCTGAGAGCAAGGTGAAACGGCATCTATACCAAGATGCAACCTCGTCTTTACAAAGACGCAGAGTCGAGTTGGCACAGACGCAACGTCGTCTTTAAAAAGACACGCCCACCCGTGAATGCTCTTTTAGGGAAAAAGGCTCTTTTAGTGTGCTGAAACGCACAGGGGAAATGGCCGCCTGCAACACAAACAAGGGGTAGTGCAGCCTGATTTGTGCAACACACTCGACACGGGAAAAACGACCACCGCTGTAGCACCATTCAGCCAACACAAGAAGCTCCCAGAGATCGCGCTGAACTCCTAGGAAGCTCCAAAGCGAAAAGCTGAGTATGCGTTGCACCTGCTGCCTATTTATACTCACACTGCGATCAGCGGCAGTTGGATGCAATCATTGCATGCCAATGTGCATTGGCTTGTTTAGTTTACACTCGAAGTAGATTGGTCTCTCTGGCGAGATTCCCAATTCGTCGGTCACCGATGTTACACTGAAATTGACCGACAGAAAGGGAACTTAAAGTTATTTAAAGACACATAAAAGTTATAAAGAAACATGTGTGAATGAGAAAACAAAGAGAGGGACATGCATGATGTTAAAAACAGTTAAGCATAAGCCATGCAAAAGAACTAGCACGGACTGACACACATCTGAGGCATGTGCACAAAAAGCCACCTCTCTCAGACAGCATGCAGTTCCAAATTCAGTTCTCTTTAGAGGCTTATTGCGTTTAATACACAATTGTCAAAATGACCATTGTATGGAGTATTCACATAAACACAGTTGGTTATATCTTAAGTGAGCATAAACAATTGGGCATAAACCTGTATATTAGATCTGTGCATTAGGTCTTAAGGCTGGGACACACCAAGCCGAATTCAGAGAACAAGCGGCAACGAAAGCTGATGGTGTTGTCACCATGCGTTGGCAGTGGCATCTGGACTGAAAAGCTGTGCTTGAACACACCGCACAGACTACAGCTGACTGCAAACTAACATGTGCATTCTGCGCCTGCGTGAGAGGAATTAACTGTCTATATCAGCAGCTATTAATAATATATATTCGTCATTCAAAAGGAGAAACCAAAACTAGGATATACAAGATATACGAAAACATAAACAAAGCAGCGCTTGCTTACCATTTTGAATATCATTTTGAATATCATCATATTGGAATGCTTGGGTAAGATCATGTAGCTTAACATTAGACTTCATTTACTTGCTCGTTTTCATCACTTTCACTTTAATTCTAGCACTGACTCGTTCTCTAAACTGAGCATCCAATCAGAATTCTCACTCGCGCCGATGGACCTGACACCGATTCAACATGTCCCAGCCTTTAAAAAGACAGCAAACCTAATATATATGCTGATGTCTGTGTCATAAGAGAAAATCACTCACTGCTATTGGCTGAAAAACGTTTGTATCTTTAATAAGAATCAATTCATATTTAATTCATACAGTGAACACTACACAGTGTTTTCTTTTTACATTTGATTATTCAATTTTTGTAGTATTTCTTACAATGTTAAATAAACCTACTGTACCCAAAAAAAGTAACCCTGAACACCTTGATTAGCTGGTTCAGGGTGTTTGTTTGGGATTGGAGCTGAATCTGCAGGACTGTAGCTCTCCAGAAGCAGGGTTGGAGACCCCTACTATAGATTAAAAAATAAATCATAAGAGTAGAAGTAATGTCAGTTTATTCAGCATACTTCTACGATGTTATATGAGAAATCATAGCAGAAAAATATGGGTAAATCATGTCAATCTGTGGATGAACAGATGAGTGTGATGAAAATGTGAGCAAAAAGAAATGCACACTCATAGGTTCAGGTTTACAGTGCACTGTATCATATTCAAATCTGCTTTGAGTGATATTTTTGTAGCACAAAGGTTAAACAATATTAAGTTAAACCACAGTGTAGCGCTTACTATCTAGCTAATAACTTGTAGATTAATTAGTAACTTGTTATATGCCAATCTATGGACCAGCGTCTCAGAAGACTAGATTCGCTGCTGAGAAAGATGCAACAACAACACTGAACACTCAACGAATGGTTTGGTCGAACACACAACGTGTATTTGTGGTTTAACAGCACTCAACGGGTAAGTTGAATCAATGTGAATCAATGAAAACAGAAAGGAAAAAATATATATATTTTCACAAATTAAATTCTTGTTTCTAAATTTTGTCACTCTTTTGTTTTAGCAGGTTTCATGAACCTTTTCCCTCAATTTTCAACAAGGTAAGTTCTTTGTTCGTTCACTTTAACTCAGTAGTTGATTCACCCAAATAAAGGTTGAATATGAACACTTATGTTACCTTTGTCAATTTTTTTCTTTTTAGATCAATCAGTATTCAAATATCAAAAACCCAATGTATGTAATGTATGTATCACCACAACAGAAAATTAACACTTCTCAATGAAATAAAATAATGTCCTTCGATTTCAAAAATTTCAAAACCTCAGTCTTTCAAGAAAAACAGTTCTTCAAATAGTCCGTAGAGAGATATAAATGTCTTTTCTCTGTCAATGAGGAAAAAACGTCTCCATCCGAAAGAGGAAAAAAAAAAAAGAAAAGTTATTCGATTTCCTACCATTCACAGGGTCAGAAAAACTTGTCTTTTGTTTCCACAGAAAATCCAAGAACAGACTCAAGGGAGGCTCGCCAGTCCAAACCCTCCTCAGAACCACCGGAAGGCAGGTACCGGAACATCTCGTCACATCAGACAGACAGCAATCGAATTTGGAAAAGGACAGAACAACAAGGAAAAAAAACCTGACCTGGAACAAACAAGGTCACAAAAATATCATGAATATCTTCATTGTAACTACATACAATAAAGTGCTTAACTCATGAAAGTAAATTAATCACTATACATCATTCATATTACACAGAACTTGAGTATTTTGAATATACGTACATGTATTTTTCAAAAAGAATTTTTTTTTTTTTTTATATGCAATGTCTGTGACTATTTTTCCAACATAACACACTAATTAATATATTACTGACCACTTTTCGTCACATACTTGAGCACACAGTTAACTGTTATGTACCAAATACAGCATTACACATTTTTTTCATACATAAATCACTCACAATTTTAAATTTCTCTTGCTTTATCCACTTACACAATACTAACGATTTGATTGGTAACGATTAACAAGGCAAATGGACTTACCAAGGAGATCGTTAAACTCAGAAAATTCCAGAATGGTGCAGGTACAGCACGTCCCCTTTAAATCCTTTTCTTTACCCTTTTTCATCAAAAATACACTCTGTAAACACTTTAGCAACACTCTGTCGCTAGTAGAGTATATGTATATCACCATACACTTTTATATTTACAAGTTAAATGTCCGTTTCACTCACATTATAATATCAATGTCATTCACAACAAATGGAAAATAAAATGCGTCACTTCACTCACATCAATCCATCGATAAAACTCATCTAGAAGATTATTTTCTTTGTTTCTGTTCCCCGGAGCGTCAGCGAACCCCGCGCTCCTCAGGCATCCGTGCACGATAGAGAGAGCTGCCTCTGATTCCACTTTTCAACAAGGTAAGTTCTTTGTTCGTTCACTTTAACTCAGTAGTTGATTCACCCAAATAAAGGTTGAATAAGAACACTTACGTTACCTTTGTCAATTTTTTTCTTTTTAGATCAATCAGTATTCAAATATCAAAAACCCAATGTATGTATCACAGCTGTCACCACAACAGAAAATTAACACTTCTCAATGAAATAAAATAATGTCCTTCGATTTCAAAACCCTCAATTGCTCAGTCTTTCAAGAAAAACAGTTCTTCAAATAGTCCGTAGAGAGATATAAATGTCTTTTCTCTGTCAATGAGGAAAAAACGTCTCCATCCGAAAGAGGGAAAAAAAAGAAAGAAAAGTTATTCGATTTCCTACCATTCACAGGGTCAGAAAAACTTGTCTTTTGTTTCCACAGAAAATCCAAGAACAGACTCAAGGGAGGCTCGCCAGTCCAAACCCTCCTCAGAACCACCGGAAGGCCGGGACAAATCCAGAATGCAGGTACCGGAACATCTCGTCACATCAGACAGACAGCAATCGAATTTGGAAAAGGACAGAACAACAAGGGAAAAAAAACCTGACCTTGAACAAACAAGGTCACAAAAATATCATGAATATCTTCATTGTAACTACATACAATAAAGTGCTTAACTCATGAAAGTAAATTAATCACTATACATCATTCATATTACACAGAACTTGAGTATTTTGAATATACGTACATGTATTTTTCAAATAAATGTTTTTTTTTTTTATATATGCAATGTCTGTGACTATTTTTCCAACATAACACACTAATTAATATATTACTGACCACTTTTCGTCACATACTTGAGCACACAGTTAACTGTTATGTACCAAATACAGCATTACACATTTTTTTCATACATAAATCACTCACAATTTTAAATTTCTCTTGCTTTTTCCACTTACACAATACTAACGATTTGATTGGTAACGATTAACAAGGCAAATGGACTTACCAAGGAGATCGTTAAACTCAGAAAATTCCAGAATGGAGCAGGTACAGCACGTCCCCTTTAAATCATTTTCTTTACCCTTTTTCATCAAAAATACACTCTGTAAACGCTTTAGCAACACTCTGTCGCTAGTAGAGTATATGTATATCACCATACACTTTTATATTTACAAGTTAAATTTCTGTTTCCCATGCTACGTTTGCTACAGCTGTATTGTCTGTTTTGCTGGGTTTTTCTTCAGCTTAAAATATTGGTTCGCTATGTGGTCCGTGTTATACTATAAACTGGATGCTGCAATTCAGTCTGAATTTTCTGCACCACAAAAATCCTTGGGCTCTATGTATGCGATTTCTATATGCATTAATTCAATGTAAGTGAATAGTCTGAGCAGATTCAACAAGTAGCATTTTTTATTTATTTATTTATTTTTTGATGGGGAAAAGCATGCCATTACATCATTTCAGAATTTGCGGTAGATGGGTTGGTCAGTCTGATCCAGACACTATAAATGAAAGGACAGTAAGGAGAGCAGAACAAACTCTTAACAGGAGGAGACTCACACATGGCCTATGGGACAGAGGATCGTGAGACTCAATACTGCTTTCCTTCCATCAACTCATCGTGTATCAAGGGAAAACGCTCCAGGCATGAATACAATGTTTTATATGTGTTTTTTTCATTGCTGTCAGCATGGACTGTGTTTCTGAACCTGCTGGTGATCATCTCCATCTCTCATTTCAAGAAGCTTCACACTCCAACCAACCTACTCATTCTCTCTCTGGCTGTGGCCGACATGTTTATTGGACTTATTGTGATACCCATAGAGGCCATCAAGCTAACTGAGACATGCTGGTACTTTGGAGACAAATTTTGTGGAGTGTTTATTAAGACCCTTGGATTGCTCCTATCAGCATCTCTCTGTAATTTAGTTTTAATTGCTGTTGATCGTTATGTGGCTGTGTGTTGTCCTTTACAATACCCACAGAAAATAACCACAACTAAAACTTTAATGAGCATCATTCTCTGCTGGTTTTGCTCCATAGCTTACAACACTGCCATTGTAATTAACAACGGATATTTTGACACTTTTCACAGAACAGGTGTGTGCTATGGAGAGTGCCCTTATATGATGAGTTTTGCCTGGAGAGCCGGTGACCTGATCTTGTCCTTTGTGTCTCCTTGTATCGTAATCATAATGTTATATTTAAGAATATTCTATGTTGCACAACGGCAAGTGAAAATGATAAATTTACTTTTAAACACTGGAAAAAGTACAATGGAGGACACTTTAAAAAAGAAATCTGAGAGCAAGGCTGCTCTAACATTAGGAATAATTGTGACAGTTCACCTGCTTTGCTGGATTCCATTTTACATTCTTTCTTTATCAGGAAGCACAGTCAACACTGCAGTCATGTCAAAATTTCTAACATGGACCTTGTATGTTAACTCAGGTCTGAATCCCATTGTCTATGCTTTATTTTACCCCTGGTTTAAAAAGGCAGTTAAATATATCATAACTCTTAGATTATGTAAGCCAGCATCCTCTCATGTGGACATTTTTAAAGATGACCATTAATGATTCCTGTGAATGGCCGTACTGCAGATGAGAGGCAACTTTTTATTAGCAAATTAACAAATTATGTTTGAAATAGCACTGTATATGCATTTCACATTATTGTTCTGACAAGAGATTTAAAGGTTATGTCTAGTGTATGTAATTTGGAGTTAATGCAACACGATTTGACAACTACATATTTTCCATTTCATTTTTCATTAAAATTTTTTAGACAAGAAACTTGTGTGTCCAGAGACTTCAGTTATAGCTTCCTAAGCATCTCTAGATCTAATAATAACCCTGATTATGCTGTAATACAAATTAAAATAAAAACGGGGAAACAGTACAACTTTAATTTTTGTGCCTAAATTGAATGTCACATTTGCACAAATATGCATTTCAACCACAAGACAAGACAATATAAAATAGAATACAAAATTGAAAAAACTTTATAAATGCATTTGCATTGGAGGTTTTAAAATAAATTTTTTTTAATTAATTATGGGTTGATTAAATGTAATTATTATATCTGATAAGTTGAATTATTAGACATTTTATTAATATATACTTTTTTATAATCACAAGCACCATTAAAAGTCTCTATTATTAACACATTTTATCATTAAGAATCTCCAAACATCTGAATTAATTTATTTCACTACAAGCAGTATTTCCCACAGACTTACACTATTTTGTGGTGGCACTTCCGCTGGGGTAATTTCTAACTTTGATACGATAAAAATAACGATATTCAATACCATTTTTGATACCACAAGGAAAAACTGCCCCAACTTTAAGAGAATAACATTTTTTTTTTTTTATTGAAAGATAAATATAACAAGGCTAGAACATGACTATGAGGTATATTTTAACATTAATGAAACCTCTTGAGGTGGTAAAACACTAGAGAAAAACGTATGGATTTGCACGTTTACTTCAAATTTCTTTAGAGAGAAGAATTATTTTCCCTATTTTTACCCAAAATAGGGTGGTGTGAGTTTCATTCATACTGGAAGTCCAAATATGCCTCACAGATGTAATAGAACGTTCCCGGAAATCCCTAATATGGACAGCTAAAATATCCAGCTATCGCTGTAGCTCAATAAAAAGAAGATAGAAATGCTATAACTGACCAAACATGAAGACAATAAACACACAACCGTGGCAATATAAGAATAAAGTCTATTTATAATGTAATGGTAATTGGCATAGCCTTTATTACAGTAGAATACGATAAAATAATGATTTTACCATAAGAAGCCACATCAGATCACAAAAGGAAATTATTTCAAACACTCAACTGAGTCTGAAGTAAAAATATGTTATTAAATGTGTATTTTGTTGGACAACATGTTTATTACACTGCAGTGTGCATGAACTCGCTGTAAGAAAGAAGAGCGAGAGAAAGCACAGCTGGTAGTATTGGTGTATAGAGACTGCGAAAAGAGTACTAAAACCGTTTTAGATATTTCAGTATTGATATGTATTGAAAAATCTATATTTTTGACAACACAACAGGTGATTGTGTTCATGTTACTAACCATTTGTGAAGTCCTGGTAAACTCGGTCAGTGAGTCAGTAACATCTGTGACTGATAATGTTTCCATGAGAATTCAAGTACACAGAGGAACGCATATTGAGAAACACCCCCATGGTTTAATTTGTTCGCTGTCGTGTGAGAGAGACATGCTGAGCCTGAGTCAATGCGTCAACTTCAGCTTTACACTGAAGTAAGATTTTACCTATTTTAAATAGTAAAATAGAAATTTAACAGGTAAAGGAAAATCTATTTGTGGTGGTCAATGTTGATATTGTGGCGGGCCGCCACAAATAGCCTAAATGAGAAACTTTGACAGCAGAATTATTTTTTCTTTTCAAAAAGAATCATGTGAAGTATACAAAAATATTTATACCATTTATAGACAAATATAATATTAAAGAGAATTTCCAAAAATAATATTATTAACATTCTTTATTAAAACAATAGCGTTGCTCCAAAACCTAGTACGCTGCTTATGGAGGTATCAAAATATCACTATAACAATATAATATTAAATTATTTTTTTTCTGACCCCATTAGCATTAACATAGATTCCGGCATATTACAAGTAAAAAAAAACATTTTTAATTAACTACAATCAACTGAAGAGTAAAGTTTGAATATGATGTGATTATGTCAATCAGCCAATAACAATATGACTTATAACAATGACCTCATCAGTTCCCATGACCTGTGTACCTTAGGTCAGTTTAAATGAAAGTAAAGTAAATTGGCCAACTAGATCTAGATTCAATAATTACAGCAACACCTATTAAAAAAACATCTGCTCAGTAATTCTTGTTAGTCAAACTAGGCTGGGCTCTTTTAATAAACAGTCCACCAAAACTGCTCTTTACAGCTTCTGTAACCTATCTCCATAGCTCTGTGTTTGATTAGTTAAATATCTAGAGGCACTAC